CAGTGGGTAATTTATACAAACACTTCTGATGAGCGCTGTTGTACGGACTATTGAGGTATCGTCCGTCAGATACATGTACAACTAGTGGGTAATTTATACAAACACTCCTGATGAGCCATGTTGTACGGACTATTGGGGTATCGTCAGTCAGATACAACCTCTAAAATAGTGGGTCATTTATACAAACATTTCTGATGAGCTCTTTTGTACGGACTAGTGGGGTATCGTCCGTCAGATACAGCCTCTTAACTAGTTGGTAATTTATACAAACCTTTCTGATGTGCCCTGTTGTACACACTAGTGGGTTATCGTCCGTCAGATACATGTACAACTAGTGGGTAATTTATACAAACACTCCTGATGAGCCATGTTGTACGGACTATTGGGGTATCGTCAGTCAGATACAACCTCTTAACTAGTTGGTAATTTATACAAACCTTTCTGATGTGCCCTGTTGTACACACTAGTGGGTTATCGTCTGTCAGATACAACGTCTAAACTAGTGGGTCATTTCTATAAACTTTTCTGATTAACCCTATTGTAGAGACTAGTTGGGTATCGTCCCTCAGATACAACAACTGAACTTGTGGGTTAATCACACCAACATTTCTGGTGAGTCCTGTTGTACAGACTAATGGGGTATCGTCCGTCAGATACAACCTCTAAAATATTGGGTTATTTATTCAAACATTCCTGATGAGCCATGTTGTACGGACTAGTGGGTATCGTCCGTCAGATGCAACCTCTAAACTAGTGGGTCATTTATACAAACTCTTCTGATGAGTTCTGTTGTACAGACAAGTGGGGTATCATCCGTCAGATACAACCACTGTACTTGTGGGTTATTTACACAAACCTTTCTGGTGATTCCTGTTTTACAGACTAGTGGGGTATCGTCCGTCAGATACAACCTCTTAACGAGTGGGTCATGTCTATAAACATTTCTTATTACCCCTATTGTAGAGATTAATGGGCTATCGTTCGTCAGATACAACCACTGAACTTGTGGGTTATTTACACAAACATTTCTAGTGAGTCCTGTTGTACCGACTAGTGGGGTATCGTCCGTCAGATACAACCTCTTAACTAGTGGGTCATGTCTATAAACATTTCTTATTAACCCTATTGTAGAGATTAATGGGCTATCGTTCGTCAGATACAACCACTGAACTTGTGGGTTATTTACACAAACATTTCTGGTGCGTCCTGTTGTACAGGCTAGTTGGGTATCGTCCGTCAGATACAAACTCTAAACTTGTGGGTTATTTATTCAAACATTCCTGATGAGCCATACTGTACGGACTAGTGAGGTATCGTCCGTCAGATACATGTAAAACTAGTGGGTTATTTATTCAAACATTCCTGGTGAGCCCTGTTGTACGGACTAGTGGGGTATCGTCCGTCAAATACAACCTCTAAACTAGTGGGTCATTTATACAACCCTTTCTGATGAGTCCTGATGTACAGACTAGTGGGATATCGTCCGTCAGATACAACCTCTTAATTAGTGGGTCATGTCTATAAACATTTCTGATTAACCCTATTGTACAGACTAGTGGGGTATCGTCCGTCAGATACAACCTCTAAACTAGTGGGTCATGTGTATAAACATTTCTGATTAACCCTATTGTACAGACTAGTGAGGTATCGTCCATCAGATTCAACCTCTGAACTAGTGGGTTATTTTCAAACATTTCTGATGAGTTGTGTTGAATAGATTTTTTGGATAATGCCCAACAGATACAATATCCGAGCTAGTACGCTGCTAATAAGTATGTTGCAGTATTTTGTCTTTCAATATCCATCGTTTTATACGTTAAAACGTATATCTAAAATTGTGTTACCGAGATGATGCCGTAAGCCTATACCGACAGCAGCTGACAGCTATCAGCAAAAACCTTAAATCAAAATACAAAACAGTGTATTTTAAATTATCGTTTTATTTAATATTTTATGGATTTGAAATCACATCAACGTTAACAACATTGCTTTACAAAAAAGGATGATGACGTATTGAACTCGCCATGCACGCAGAAAACATCTTATTACATATGTCCTTGTAGTCACGGTGTGCTCATATTTGTGTGTGTACGGGTGAGTGTGTGTGTGTGTGTGTGTGTGTGTCGGGGGGAGGGGGGTGCGTATGTGTCCTACAGGGGTCTACAAACCGAAGTTAGACATAAAAATGCATCGACTTGCTCCAAAACCTCACTTCATAATCAGGTTTTGTACTTCACAAGGTAATGTAAAACGATACATGCATTCATGCATGCTGGTGTATATGTGTGTGTGAAAGGAGTAGGGTTCGCACATGTGTGTGTGGAGGGGAAGGGGGTCTCACGCGTGTGTATGTGTGTATGGAAGGGGTAGCACGTGGGTGTATGTGTCTGTGGGGCGGTAGGGGGTCGCACGTGTGTATGCGTGTGTGAGTGTGTGTGTAGGGGGTACGGGGTTTGGACGTGTGTGTGTGTGGAGGTGGTAGAGGGTCAAACATGTGTGTATGTGTGCGTAGAGGGGGTATGTGATCGCACGTTGGAGTATGTGTGTGTGGATGGGGTAGGGGGTCGCACGTGTATATATGTGTGTGGAAGGGGTACAGGGGTCGCACGGGTGTGTGTGTGTAGGTGTGTGTAGGTGGTAGAGGTCGAATGAGTGTGTATGTGTGTGAGGAGGGGGGGGGTAGGGGTCGCACGTGGCTGTATGTTTGCGTGAAGGGCGTAGTGGGTCCCATGTGTGTGTGGAGAGGATGCAGGATCGCACACGTGTGCATGTGTGTATTTAGGGGAAAGGGGTCACAGGCGTGTACAGGTGTGTGGAGAGAGTTGGGGTCGCACGTGTGTGCATGTGTGTGTGTGGAGGGGGTAGGGGGTCGCACGTGTATGTATGCTTACAATTTTTACTTTCTTATGCCATTACATCAACTTTGAATAACTTATAAATAATTGAATTAAACAGGTTTGAATAAATGACTACATTCGTTATGTGCTGTTAATATATTACGGATATGACTATTAGGGACACTGTATATTTCAATATTAATTTGGTGACTAAAATCACTCACAACAGGATTCATGTAATCATGTAATAATGTAATCGTGAACTTAATAATAAAGGTCATGACTTCTAGATATATATATATATATACATTATTATCACAATCATTGGTTCAATCTGTCTTCATATGACAAATAATTATAATCTTCACAAAACAACCAAACAAAAAACACAGGAGACTACTAAACTCTCGTCAAACCCTTAATGAGAACTCGAAATTCATTAAAGTAAGGCAACAAATCAGCAACAATAATGAAGTATAGCACGGAATCCATTGAAAAAGAAAAAGTACCAGAACATTAAAACCAAGTGTTCCGGAAGGGTAAGCGTTAACTGCACCATTGATGACATCCGTCAAGTCAAGTCCGAGAAACGATAAACAAGAAACTGATATGTACATATTAACTCAGCCCAGTTAGTTGAATGACGCGATAGGTCATAATTTACTACAATGGTCATTGTAGAGTAAACCGTTGTGTTCGATATGTTCAATTTCCAGTTTGTTTAAGACTTATTTGAAAATAAATGTCCTGTCGAATGTGTTCAAAAATCGACAGAAACAGTAACCCTCGCTTCCTATTATGATTTTGATGTCATCGAAATACTAACGGAGATTGACATGAAAGTTAAAATGTAATTCCTGGTGAGACAAATACGTCTGACGACTAAAAGTGAGTGGTGAATGGTTCATTTGAGTCATTTGAAAGCTGTAGTAACTGGGGTGTGGTATTGTCCTCCCACGCAACAGTCATACGCCGGGACCAAATCTGAAACACGAAACATGGAAATTGTAGAATGATATATAAAAACAACCTTTAGGCTAAGCGTGAATCACGTCAAAGTTTTTATTCTGAGTTCAAGGCTTTTCCTTTGAAACCCTGATTGGGCATATATGAAATGTGTTAAATAAATTAGTGAGGCAGTGTCCAGGTCAATATCAGAGTACGTTAAATTGAAAAAGTAGTCTACAAGTCTGTGTGTGACAAAGTTAACGAAATAACTACTTACTTGTTCCGAGGACAGTCTCCCTATAAATACAATGTGATAAACAATTGTACTTCAGGTGTCACCATGCTTGTAATGGATAACATAATGTAATTTCAACAAATTCATAGTTTATTGGACAGTTTGGATAGTTGTAATGAGTATGAACCCATTTCCTTTGCATGCATGTCCCCTTTATATTTTCGTCAATATTTTACTACAGAAATTGTCTTAGATCAGCGGAAGTGCATTAAAACGCGAGTCGTGCTGTTCTAAAAATGTCCCATTTTTATCTGTATGAGTAAATAAAGCAAATTTTAAGTCTGGGCGGACAGTATGATGTGACTTGAGAATTTAACAGTAAAGGTTTAAAATACTGATAACAATATACACAACCTGTCGACTTACTATACCAAACGCTATTCACAATAAACATATTTCGTTACAATATGTGTCTTACCTCTGTCGTTACAATATGTATCTTACCTCTGTTTGGTAGCGGTGGAGGGGAGTTCCGTTCATCCGTTTCAAACTGAAATAGGAAGGCCAGTATTTAGATATTGATATTTTACTTTATTGAAACTTTGACTACATCTGTTATGGAACCAATTGCAACACGAATTCGGCATCAATAGAGTATACATACTTCTCCGCTCGCGCAGGCCAACATCGACTCTCCTGTAAATATGAAATAAATAAATATGCAATGTATGTACTGGTAACATAGTTTTATGACAGTAAACATATTTTTGTTTTAAAACATTTGTGTTCGTGTGAAATATTTGATAATAAAACGACGTCTGTTTAAATAGTACCGAATGCCTTGACCTGGTTTAGTGAAAC